AAACCCTCTATTCTCAAACAAATAACCTTTACTCATTTTTTTAAATAAATTAAGTACAAATGCATGAGATGTGATTTAGATATATTTGGAAGATGACTGTGAAATCCACAGTAGGAGAAGCACTCCCATACATCTCTACATGGTTGAGCCATGTAGAGATTATTAATGGGTCCACCCAAGGCAGTGAACTAAAGTTTCAATCTCTGATAGCAGGTCCAGGTAAAAACATGACAAGTTGCATCCACTTTTCCAGTGATCTGGATAGAACCAGTTCTAGGAAGAAAGTCTTTTGCATGGAGGACAGTGGGCCAACCAGTTCCCTGACCTCAGAAGTCATTGTAGTGAAAGTCAACTCTGAGCCAGACATGGTGGCATACACTCAAAAATCTTGGACACTGTGGAGAATCATAATGTCAAGGTTTATATTAGATTTTCACTTTCTTCTTCCTTGTTTTTTTTAGTGTGTGTGTCTGTGCGCATGTGTGTGCATGCAAGCAGATTTCCTGGGTGAGTTGGTCACTGGAGAGCTGATGTACACCCAGAAAGCTGTCCCATAAAACAGGCAAACCACTCATGGTTGAGAGCCACAAGTGGGGAAGGCTTTATGCTTGCTTCCCTGCTGATGAGGGAATTCTTAAGACAGAGGACATGATACAAGCATAAGAAAAGATCGTTACAGAGACAGCAGGAGTACTAAATGGGAATACTGCATTAAAGATCAGGAGGCTATTGACAAAGGTGTTGGCACAAGCCAGTTTGATGACCTGGGTGACCTCACAGAAGAAATAAGGGATTCCTACATCTCCACAGAAAGACAAAGGCAACATCATGAGAATCTGGAATAGGGCATCTACAAAGCTAATGGAAAGGGACTCCAGAACCAGCAAGACACAGAAGCTAGGGTACATGATGGCCATGTACCTCAGGGGGTAACAGATGGCCACGTAGCAGCCTTAGGCCATTATTGCAAGAAGACGATTTTCTAAGCTACAAAAAAACCAGTCAGGCAGATTTGGGCCAGGCAGCCCATGTAAGTGATTCTCCAGACTCATTTATGGAAGTTCACCAACATCTTGGGGATGGTTTAATCAGATGTCATTGAAGGACAGGGTAGAGAGGAAGAAGTACATGGGGGTGTGGAGGTGGCGGGGGGGTCAGAGCTGATAGCCAGGATGATGAGCAGGTTGCCCACGATGGTGACCAGGTACATGGACAGGATGAGGCTGAAGATAAGAGGCTGGAGTTCTGGGTCATCTTTCAGTCCCAGAAGAAGAAATTCTGATATTGCTCTTTGTTTGCTGGGACCCATGGTTTGATGAATCTATCAGAACATATGCGATGTAAATATTAAATTCATGCAGAGCCAGGCACTGATGGTTCGTGCCTGTAATCCTAGCAACTCAGGGGGATGAGATCTGAGGATCGCAGTCCAAAGCCAGCCTGGGCTGGAAAGTCAGTGAGACTCATCTCCAATTACTCACCAGAAAGCCAGGAGTATGGCTCCAAGTAGCAGAACATTAGCCTTGAGCAAAAGGAGCTCAGGTGGAACACCTGGCCCTGAGTTCAAGCCATACCACAGACCAAAAATACAAATTCATGAAGGGGCGAGAAAAAGCATCAGAGCCTAGAAAAGTTTTGGGAATGTAAACTTCATATTCCCACTTGACAAGATTTAGGGGTAATTTACTGTTCAGTAGAGAACCAATAATTGAATATTCTACCTACCCTCACTGGGGCCCTGAGAATGGAAATTTCCTCCACCATTAGTGGGCAGTCAAGGAAACATTCTGATGTATTCCTTTGCAAAGTTCTCTATTATCTCTTTTCACTCCTTTCTCCTCCTTCACCTTCTCTTCCTCATTTAGTGAAATAGTATTTTCATTGTACACTAATTTGGCTTCCATCCATTATGTTCATTGCTGAAAGTAAAATAAAAGTTATGGCAGGCTGGGTGATGGTGGCTCATGCCTCTAATCCTAGCTACTCAGGAGACTGATATCTGAGGATGGAGGTTCCAAGTGCAGCCCGGCAAGAAAAGGAGCTGTGCCTCAAAGTGGTAGAGTGCTAGCGTTGAGCAAAAAAAAAAAAAAAAAAGAGCTCAGGAACCATGCCCAAGCCTTGAGTTCAAGCCCCACTGCACACATACACACACACACACACACACACACACACACACACACACACAGAGGACATGGCATAGCTGGAAAAGAAATGCTAATAATAGCAATCTTGGTTTGTCCTTGGGTAGGGGAGAAAAGGATATAGAAATTTAAATGAAGTGAGTAATACATTGTCACATACACAAGTCATACTTGATATTACTTCTGAACCATTCACACAAGGCTTCAGTGACCTCGCTGGCTTGAAATGAGGGTTCTCAGTAGGTGCAGACAGACTTTGGCCTCAACACCTAGACCAGGAAGAACCATCTCTGGGAGGAGGCTCAGGGTGTGGCTTCCTGACTCTGTCAGGCCTGCTTCTAAGCTGGTCACAGGCTGATTAGAGCCCCAGAGGCTCAATATCCAGAGTGTCTCATTAAGGAAACTACTATGTCATCCTAACTCCATGGAGGTGAGCACTCTTGAGCAAGGTTCGTTTCCAGTGCATGTCACGTACTCTTCTCCTTTCTTTCTGTACCATCTTCATTTCACAGAACTTGCTGATAAATTCCAGTGCCATTTTTGTAGCAGGAAGCTAGGACACTGGTGGCTCACATCTATAATCCTAGGTCTTCAGGAGGTTGAGGACTGAGGACTGATGTTCAAAGCCAGCCCAGGATGACAAATGTGCTAATCTCTTATCTTCCATTTAACAACAACAACAAAAAAGCAGAACTGAAGTCCTGACTCAAGTGGGGAATGCTTGATTTGTGAACAAATAAATGCCAAAGGAGAGTTCGAATCCCTGAGTTCACGTCCCAGAACAGGCACAAATAAATTCTGAATGATTATATATAATAATTGATAGCATGAAGTCTGATTCCTTTTTATAATTTATATGTATGTCTATATATTCTCTATAAGCATATATTTCCATATACATATATACAAATACATATACATGTATATACAAATATATACATGTATATGTACATATATGTACATATGTATATATATATACATACCTAGTTATATTTTTACCTTAAAAAAACCTTTTATTAATCTTTTGTTTATGGGATACCATGGAACTGAACCCAGGGCCTCATGCACGTGAGGCAAGCACTCTACCTCTAAGCCACATTCCCAGTCTGATTTCTTATCCTTCTATTGGGCTGTGAAAAACAACTTCCTTGAACCTATGCAATTCAGTAGGATACATGAGAGGAGGTATTCATATTTTTCACTCATACTGGGAGAAAAATAACTATTGAAATGTCATCAGTATCTGAAAGACCAGCTTTTTTTTTTTTTTTACTGTTGTCATAGGTTGTGTAAAAATAGACAACTCTGTCCATATCTGGCTAGGTGATAAACCCCCAAAATGTAATGGAATCTCAGAAATGCAACAATAAAATTTCAAAGTAGATAACAATTCATTCCCTTTCCACTTTGTTATGGTCAGAAGTAATTTGGTGATGGTTTGGTTTTATAGGCATGCATAAAAAATAATGATGCACTAGGTTTCTATGAAATTATTTTTACACAAATATGTAGAACACTAACATTAATTATTGGCTACATTTACCCAATCTCTCTCTCCTTTACGACAATACATGATATTGCATTTGGTGTGCACCCAAATAATTTGTGATAAATTGTTCCCCTACCAGCATTGCTTTTGGATAATATGTTAAGCATTCACCCTCTGGTTATTGAAGGTCATAAATCACTAGGGAAAGGAATTTGGATGTATAAGTATTGATTTACTAGCCACAAGTCACAAATCACAATACAGATGCCTTTTGCATAGCCACAGGGATGTAATGTAGGTTCCTGTTTTTAGCATCATGTCAAGGTACCACGCTGAAATCTGTTGCAGCCTACTGGATGCTCAGAGAAGGCACATTCTCTGTATTAACCAGCTTACATGGAACTTGCTGAAGCTCTAATCTCTGAAACTAGAGACTCCCAAATTCTGAAGTCCTCATAATCCTAGCTATTCAGGAAGCTGAGATCTGAGAAACGTAGTTGGAAGTCAACTTGGGCAGTGGAGTCTGTGAGAGTCTTCTCTCTGATTATCCAGAAAGAACCAAAAGTTGGAGTTTGGCTCAAGTAGTAGAGCACAAGCATTGCCCTAAAACACTCAGGGACAAGGCCCAGGCCCTGAGTTTAAGCCCCACTACCAGTACATACACTATACTAAAAATAAATATTATTTCCCTGGTATTGTCAATGGGTTTATTTTCACTGAAACATGGATGGCATCTTTACTAATAAAGTAACAGTACTATAAAAAGCCATTTCAAATCATTGAGATGTTCAGTTGTGTGGATTTTACAAGTAATGAAACCAAGCAGTGTGGAACATCTCAGTAACTTTAACAGAGTTTTAAATTTCAGTTTATTTGCCTCACATACACCATGCAAGCCCCTTGCCCCTTTCCATGGTATCCAGCTTAATCGGGTCTCTTTATAAAATGTATCTTAAAAACCGTTCCTGCCCAATTCAGCATCTGAAATTTTTTTTCCCCTTCTGAGACAGGTCCCTAAAAGAGACTCCATGATCTCCCAGGCTGCTTCCCAGAAACTCAAGAAAGCTCAGGGATCAAAATCGCTGGACCAAAAAAGTATGATTGAGTTAAGACATCACCTTGACTGGTGACTTTTGGAAGAACTTCAGGAGAAGTCGTCAGTTGCTCTGTCATCCTCACCCACTCAGAACACCCCAAGTCCTAAACACATTGGCAGAGTTACAGAACAGAAGGTTTGCTGAACCTGAGTTAGACTCCACAGTGGTGAGGGCGTGGCACAAGACACAGAGGGCGTGGCTTAAGCTAAAGGGGTTGTGGCTACAGTTGTAAAGGCGTGGCTCAAATAGTATGAGTTTGGCTCATGTGGAAGATCACCTGCTCAGGAAGTTATAGGTATTAAGATTGGGATTTCCCAATCTTTCCCCTTCTCCCCCACAAAGAGAAGATAGAACCATGATGAGATGTCTCAAGGCTCCCTTCATTTCTTTGTTCCTCATACTGTAGATAAAGGGGTTCAGCATCTGTGGGATCACAATGTACATCATGGAAGCCACTATATTTTTAAAGGAAGACTCTGTAACGGCCGAACTCATGTAGACACTGAAACCTGTCCCATAGAACAAGGACACGACCGACAGGTGAGAGCCACAGGTGGAGAAAGCTTTAGACTTTCCTCCTGCTGATGGGATCCTCAAAACGGAGGAGAGAATCTGAGCATAAGAGAAAATAATACCCACAAGTGGCACACCAAAAAATAGGCTAGACACTATATACATGAGGAGGTTATTGATCAATGTGTCTGAACAGGCCAAACGGATGACCTGTGTGAGCTCACAGAAGAAGTGAGGAATCTCCACATCTTGACAGAAGGATAGATGTGATGCCATCAGACTGTGGAGCAGGGCATGCCCTGCACTAATGAAGAGAGAATAGAGGACCAGCAGGACACAGAGGCCAGGGTGCATGATGACCATGTACCTCAGTGGGTGACAGATGGCCACATAGCGGTCATAGGCCATCACTACAAGGAGACAGTTTTCTAAACCACCAAATGTCACAACAGAGCCAATCTGAGTTAGGCACCCTGTGTAAGTGATGCTCTGGTCTTGGGCTTTGATGTTCACTAGCACCTTTGGGATAGTGGTGGTGCTGATGCAGATATCAGTGAAGGAGAGGTTGGAGAGGAAGAAGTACATGGGGGTGTGGAGGTGGGGGTCAGCACTGACAGCCAGAATGATGAGCAGATTGCCCAGGATGGTGAACAGGTAGGTGGACAGGAAGAGGCTGAAGATGAGAGGCTGGAGTTCTGGATCATCTGTCAGTCCCAGGAGAAAGAATTCAATAGATGCTGTTTCATTTGTGGGTTCCATATTTTGTTGAGCATTAGTTTTATAAAAAAAATACTGTGAAAATAAAATAAAGAGAACATGATTTCTATACACTTTGAACTTGTGATGGCTATGAAAAATATCTTCTTACCACTTTGGGCTTCACTTCGGATAAGTTCTTAAGATGGTGATTGACTTTGTATGTTTTAACAGATATTCTCTTTTTTTTGGGGGGGGTCCGGTCGTGGGGCCTGAACTCTGGCCCTGGGCATTGTCCCTCAGCTCTTCAGCTCAAGGCTAGCACTCTACCACTTGAGCCACAGTGCCACTTGCGGCTTTTTTCTTTTTTGCTTATGTGGTGCTGAGGAATCGAACCCAGGGCCTCATGCA